TTTTTTTTTCAGTTTATATATTTACTTATTTTTTTACCAGGCCGTGTGAGTCGGCTCTGGCTCCGGCGCCTTGGTCGGCTCCGGCTTCTTGGGGGCCGGAGAGGAAGTTGGTGGAGCCTTCGTGGGCTCCGGCTTTGGAGCCGGCGTAGGAGGCTCAGGGTCAGTCCCAATCTCAATACCGTACGTAAACTTGAGTTTACGGACGCGGCCGATGATCGGCCAGAGCCAGTTTGGGATGGTGGCCACGTTAAGCTCCTGCTTGAGGAGCTGAAGCTCGGCCTCCGAGCAGGTGCCAGCAGCGCATCTGGCGACGCTGTCCTGGTCGGCATGGTCCATCCCCTCGAGGATGGTGTTGACGTCGGCCTCAGAGAGGCCTTCGTCACGGCGAGCCTTGCCACCTTTGGCAGGCTCGATCTTGGAAGAGATTTTCCATCCCTTACCAGATGGATCGTCCTTCACCATCTGGGCGGCAGCTCGAAGCGCCGCGAGATCCTCCTCCGAACATTCTCCAGCCAAACACTCAACATGAAGAGTCTTTGGCTGAGGCTCTCCTGAGGGTGAGTTAGCATAAGAAGTTGAAGATGGGAAGAGTTGCTATGTTCCTACTTACCACGCCTCACAGTCTGCACTGGCATGCCAGTGGCTGGCTGCAACAGGGCAAGCCCTGCGATAGCAGCGACGATAATCTTGCTAATGGCCGGCATGGTTGGTCCGGCCTATATTGTTCTGTTAGCTTGTTAACTACAAGCCATGGTAGCTAAGGAGAGGTGACTTACAAGTGATGTTGCTTGCTGGGGTGTATAGTAGAGGGTGATAGGGCTGGTGAGAATTTGTGACTGTGTGATGGGAAAGGAAAGAAAAAAATTCGAAGGTGAAGAGGTCGAGGACGCGATATTTATACCTTTATGAAAGAGAGTTTTGACATAAGATGGCCACGCAGTTGGAGGACGAAGAGAGTACTCCATGATGAGGGTGAAGCCCATTTGGTATCCGGTTAGAGACAGGAAGGCGGTATGGCGCCATCATAGCAGGGTCACAGCAGACGGAAGGCAGGAGAGTGGCCACGCCACCATAGGCAAAGGGGTGATATCAGCTCTGGCTGGAACTGGTGTACCGTCATAGACTGCAATGGGACATGTCGCCTTCATGACAGAAGGAGAGAATATCGCATTTGGTAGAAAGATGAACACCTTAAAGTGTCCTAATTTTGACGCCTTCAAACACACCATGTAGAAGGAGGGGCCGCTCTTCCTCCTCCTATTCCTTGAGACATATAACTAGGTATGTCTGTAGATCTTCCGCATACATCCTGATGGAGAGACACCGGCTCTCTAGAAAAGAGACCCTCTGGCGCATATCCCATCATGCAGCCTTATTGTCAGCTTGGTATGGATGCGAAACCAACGCGGGTAGGGGCTGTGATGCTGTCGTTGACTAGATGTTAGAAGTGGCCATCAACCGGGAGTTGGTACGTATACCGTCATCGACTATAGGAGAAAGTTAAGGGGGAAAGAACAAGCATTGCACGAAAAAGCTTGGCTGTAGAAAGTTTGGAAGATCGAGAACGCGTATACGCTAACGAATTGAAGATTGACGTCAAAAACTGTTACGTTACCGACTTCAGGCCGCGTACAGCAGCGAAGTGAAGGAGGCGTAATGGATATCTTGGGTCAGCCTCAGCAGTCCCAAGGCCCAACCCCTACCTTGTGAGGAAGCCAACCCATGGAATGCAGGAGGCGAACGTAACAATCGTAAAAAGTCAGTGACGCATTTGGTAGTCGCATCGGTGACGGGACACCTTAGGCAAGACCGGGTGGTTGGAAGACACAATAACGTCATGGACTTGGGGCGGTACTCGTCGTGGTGTATTCGTCGTAGTCGTCACCGACTCATCCGAAATGAGGCAAGCAATAAGAAGAGCAAAGTGAAGGGTTTTCTTCTGCCTTTCTATTCCATTTCCATATCACATATTTGAAGAGTGTCCACAAAGGTATACACCCGGTACTTTGTCCGTGTAGCCCATTTTCGTCAATACAACAGTCTATAACGCACCTAAAAGGGAAATACCAAGAGAAAGAAAAATGTCTCAATATCACTCAGTTGCTAATGAGGAGCCAGTGGATGGCATACCACATGTAATGGAGACTTCTAGGGCGGCATCCCCGTCCTTGAGCTCCAACCTAGAAGACACGGTTGTTGGGTCCGACCAGTGCAGCTCGTCAGGAAGTGATTCCTTAACGGGTATCAACACCCCTTCAAATGACGAAAGTACCGGTATGGCCTCGCGAAGTGCATCTCCGGCTAGCCCTCGTGCCCATACAGTATCTGCTTCATCTAGAGAAGGCGCTACTTTTGCACATTCGATCGATGCCGCAGAGAGAGCTCAAAGTGAAGCGAGGCCGGAGGGCATCCATCGCCTTACAAAAGAAAGCTCCGGGATATTCTTCACGCGGTTTCTATTCCTGTTGGGGCTCACATTCTTGGCTGGAATGATTGTCGGATCATGGCCGCACCATGAGTGCAAGAGTCGATACCCCGACATTGTCTACTGTAAGTTATCTAGGGCCACTGTGTACTGATATTCTCCATACCCGTGTAACTTCAGCTGATCAACAATGACTTTTAGCGCCTGCTCGGGCTATGCAGGAGTATCGGGCAGTCCGTTTCGATGGAGACATCCAGACGATAAACCCGTACAAAGGGCCCCCAAGCAAGGCGTTAGATGAGGCCTGGAAAGCTCTCTATGATGGTAAGTTACCGCTCAGATAATACAAAGCCTGATGGAAGAAAGGATATCCTAACTGTTAATAACACAGTCGGCCCGCTTCTGGTCGATAAGAAAGAGCTTGAAGCTATCGGGAAGGAGAGTATGGAGTTGCCATCACGCCCCGGCAAGCACTTGGCTAAATTGGCGGTATTTCATCAGCTCCACTGCTTGGTATGTGTATTCTGGCCTTACTGTAGAATCCCAGGCTGATGATAGGGTATAGGACTATGTGCGCCGGTATGTGCATCGGGAGCATTACCGCATCGACGATAGCCATGCAACTGTCTCGGGAATCGATCATGCTGGTAAGTTAGACTACCCTACTGCCTCTTCATCTAACTAACCACGCTTGTATAGATCACTGCATTGACATGATCCGCCAGGCTCTGTCATGTTCAGCGGACCCCACGCTCATCACCTTCAGTCAGAAGAGTCTTTTGCCGAGGTAGAGGCTGACTTTAGTGCAACTCATGCTTGCACTAACTTCGAGAAGGTGCATGGCTGGGCCAAGGACCAGGCTATCAACATGACAGAGGAGATCATCCGGAGCCCACGGCCGTTCAGGGACGCTGTGGTAGCATCTCTCAACGACTGAAGAATCAAGACAACCCTGGGCTGTGTCACGCTCTGCTTCTCTCCCGTAAGCATCGACATCGGCATACGGGGAAGGTAAAGGCGCTTTCGGGTGTCTCCTTATTCAGTGGTCTGGGTCTTCGGGTGGTTCTGGATGGCAGATGGCGGTCTATCGATGACCGGACGGGGCGCATCGGGCAGCTCAGAATTCTCACCATTCTGTGTTTTTGTCGTCATGGAGGAGGCTGATGATGACTAAGCAGTTAATTTGGACGATAACGCGAACTTAGAATATTGAACTAAAATGACGACTCGAATAAACCATCCGTGCCATCTCTCACACACTCACTCTCTCTTATTGAAACAACAAGCATAATCAGCAAGTAATGCCATATATTTGCCAGTATAATTTACCTAAATCCTGTGATCAAATAGAGAATTCCTGTTGCAGGATAGTCGAGCCAAACGTGAGGGTTATTGACAATTGAATTAATGCGCTGATCGCTATGCCTGTACCAGAACCCAGACACCCTATATCTTCACACCCATTCTAACATTTACATAGCTAATTCTTTTAACTGGTTATCCTTGTTCGGGACTGACCTATCGTGCGCGCCAGCTGGCTACGCTCTTCGAAGCCCTGCAATCGTCCCTCCCTGCTACCTCCAAGTCCCGATATAAAATTCATATTGTCACCTCTCATGATGAAGCCCACCCGCGCACTGTATATGATAATGCTAAGTCAGAAAAGCAGGCAAGAGCTGTGGTATACGCCCGCGTGAAGAGGTTACTTGGCAGAGATAGCATTGTTATTGTGGACGGAATGAATTATATTAAGGGTTGGCGGTATCAACTTTGGTGCGAGAGTAAAGAGGCCAGGACAACAAGTTGTGTGGTATGGATTTTATTTCGCACAGTGCGGAGATATCTTATAATTCTATCCTCGGAGCTGCTAACCGTTCCGTGTTGAACAGGTTCATGTAGGGACACCAATAGACCAGTGCATATCTACAAACGAGGCACGGCTTAAACGAAAGCGAGAAATGTTTGAAACTCGTACCGAGCAGCCCGAACCAGCGTCTGTCGATCCTGATGTGAAAAAAATGACCGAACCTGGGGATGAACCCACGCCAAAGAGCACTGATATAGAGTCTGACGAGGAACCGTACTCACAAGAACTATTAAATAACCTCATATATCGTTACGAGGAACCCTCAACAGCGAGTCGTTGGGATAAACCCCTTTTTACTGTACCCCGGGATGATACGACCCCACCGGTGGAAGACATATGGTTCGCTATAACAGGGCAACAGATAACGAAAGACGAAAACCAAACTGGCCTTTCGACTGGTTTATTTGCTCAAACTGATGCCGGGCAGGACGAGGTAAATTCTACAGCCGGCGCGCTTTCCACCCCCACTGGTGCTAAGAAAACCTCCCTTCAACGACCTACATCAACTCGACCAAAAATTGTCCCTCATCAAGCCACGGCAGCACCGCCAAAAACGGATCCAACCGCACTATACGTGATTGAAAAAACTACATCCGAAATTATATCAACAATACGCAAGTATTCCTTAGAGCACCGATCACCATCTTCGTCTACGTATTTAGCAAACCCACAGGCCCCCGGCATCACGATACCCATTCCTTCTACACAGACGTCTGTCTACATACCCCCTTCGACTCTGGCTTCTGCCCCCACAGACGATTTAGCTGGTGCCGGCGGGGTTTTAACACTTCCACGCCTGCAAAGATTAAGAAGGCAGTGGGTTGGGATGAACAGGGCGTTTGCGGGACATGGCCATGGCATGGGCCAAGGCAAGTTGAATGAAGAGGAAGTCGGCGAAGCGTTTGTGAGATTTTTAAATGCTGAGTTTGAAGGAATGACCGAATTCTAGGTGAGATTTAATGATGAATGACGAGCATAGTATGAAAGCATATAATTATCTTGAATCTCAATTAAATTTCAGGGTGTTGAAAATTTCGTAGCATGTAGTCGTGAATCATGTTCTCTGGGTGTGTGTAAACACGAGCATAAAGGGAACCATAACAATCAAAGGCAAGAAATGATTATAGATTCAAAAGAAAAGGAAAAGAATAATGTTGAAGTATGCGTCTGTTGGCTTCCGCAACCCACTGGCTCTCCTGGCACGCTCAGTTTTCTTTTTGTACGAAAATTTTTTTGCAGAAGTAGTTAACCAGATCAATTCAAAAGTAGGAACATTCTGTCCTAAGAAATATAAAAATGAAGAAAGTGAAATGCAAAACTAAGTAACAATAACGTCTGTCCGCAGCGTGGTGTCAACCCACTACACACGCCGGGCGCCTCTTCTGAGAATTCCAATACCGCCAATGCAAAGGACCAATTCCGAAGTAAACCAATAAACAATGCAAAACTGTGCTGTTAGACGAGTTGGGGAGCAACATGCAAATATGACTGAAACAACATAGGAACAGAAAAAGTATCATCATAAGCCCGGTCTGGGTTTCCCGAGCATAATCCAAAAATAGGTTCAGAGGGAAGAGAGAGAGAGAAAAAAAAAGGGAAATGCTAGTGTAAAACCTCTAACAGAAATGGAAGATGGGAAAAAAGTCCAGTAAAGGTGGAATCCAAGGAGAAGGGGGTCAAAATGAATCACTTTTAATAGGACAAATGAAACCGAAATGCAATGTAGAGAGCGCATACGCTAGCTGTTGAACTTTAGGATGACTTGGATGCTCTTTCGTTAGCAAGCTGGCCAGCTCGGATATAGCGGTAGTTGAGGCTAAGGGTGTGGAGTTCCTGCAGCCTGGCATTGGCTTTTTCATGGAGAGTGGGATCCTGTGGATTGATATTCTTGAGTTCTTCTTGTAGCTGAGCAAGGCAGGCATAATAGCTTCTCTCTGCGTTTTGAAGCTGCTGGCCGCTCTGTGCCTGGGCAAGCTTGAGAGCTGCCGCAGTCTGAGATTGAACTGGGCGAACTCGCTTCATGGTTTGGCTGTTTGGTGAACCACCCTTCCTTTTGCGGATTGCAGAGTCTTTCTTCTTTCCGGCAGCTCCGGTGACTGGAGATCCTTCGGGGGAGCTGGCTTTGTCAGATGAAGTGTAGTCATGGACACGCCTCATATGATCATGTAGGTTCCAACGGCGGGGGAAGCCGTTTCCAGGGATTGACCGTTCACAGGCTGGGAAATGGCAGAGATGAGGGTTTTCCCCATGGCCATGCATACCATGGGCCTCCCTTTCATGGCGGAATAAACAAGCATTGGAAGAGAAATGGGCGTCCACACATTGTGGGACTTTGCACCTGTATGGCTTAAGGTGGGAATCCAGATATTTACTACAAACAGGCTCTTAATATCAGGTAACTCAGTTGATGGCTGCAGGGGGTGAAAACTTACTGGTAAGCACACTTTTGAGTGGTTGGGGTGTGAGAGCAAGGCTTTTCCCTGGATGCGAATGGGCAGTAGTACTTCCCATCGGTCTCTGGCGGAAGGGAATAAAACGGGTGGTCTCTTGGGTTCCTGGTCTCTGCACCATCTTTGGTTCTGGAGCTTAAGACTGACGTGGAAAACATATCTCCATCAGATACTTCTGAAATGTCGCCAGTAGCCTCAGTAGATAAGCTGGATCTCTTGGCTGGCTTAGAGGGTCTGATAGTCCTTATATACCAATCTTCGTTAGTTTTTCATGCCCCGAGCGTAGATATGTTATGCAAAAACTAATGTACCTGTTATAATCCCTGGCGCTCAGCGGTGGGCTGAGAGGATAGAAGCCGTTCATTGGGAAATTCTGGCCTGAAAGATAGGCAGTATCAACAAAAGGAGAGTCATCATGTCCGGCGTAAGGAGAGAAGTTTGAGGGGGAACAGGCAGAAGTAACGGGTACATCTTGACCGGCCTCAGTAAGTGGAGGAGTAGCTGGTATCTGGGCGTACAAGTTCGACATATGAACTACATTTCCAGTAGAGGTATCATCACTCATTGCTGACTGGCACCAGGGGCTAGAGACAGCCAATGAGTCGGAGTTCTTCATTCCTTGGTGAGCTGGGTCGAACTCCATCTGGCATTTTTCATTTTCATGTCCATTTTCAGTGGTAATGTGGCCTGACTCATTCTTAACAGAAAATCCCATAGCACCGGAAACGGTTTGGAACCCATGGGAATTCCTAAATGCCATCTGCGGGCTATCGCAGCTGGCGGTCGCATCCTGAATTGGGTTGATATCCGAAAAGGTAGTGTGGTCTGCGAATCCTGAAAAGAGGGGCTGTGTGTATGGGGCGAATGTCAACATTTGGGATTCATGCATATCATAATCAGTGGTTGAAAGTGATTGAGTGTCAAATGACTCATCAGTTGCCTCGCTGGCTGTGCTAATATCAGCACAGGTTAACATGGCATCGCTGATGGCCCAGTTGCCTAGGTTATCAAACTGACAAGATCCGTTAAGCCCAGGAGAGATCGAAAAATTGTCGCCTTGGGAAAAATCATCATCTTGTGACCTGGCTGGAATGTCCACAAACTCTTGGGCTGAAGAGCTTTGATATGATTGTGACCTTGATCCTTGGGAGTGTCTTTTGGGGATTGACAGTTTTGACATGGTGGCCTTTCCTTTTGTAGCCATGGTGATGTGTGATGTGGGTAAATCCTGGAAATTTCTAAAAACAGCACTGCGGGCTCGAGTTAGTATTGTCATGTTTGGCAGTCATTAAGTTGTTGTAAGGAAACATGAATGAAACAAAAAACATCGAAAGAAATTGCGTCCGTGTATCCTAAATATCAAGTTAGTTTTATCATTCTCCTCCATTCATACAGCTTGCAGACTGACCATGAAGGTAATGGCTGTTGTTAATTGGCAACCAGTTGTTGATTGAAAAATCCATGAGGCCACTGAAACATTTTTCTGATATATCCGGAAAACATCCATGGAGCGTGGCTGGCTCATATAAATCATTGCGGTAACATTCATAACTGGGATCCGTTCCAAAGGTAATGGGTAATCCATGAATAAAAAATCAAAACGATCGAACACATTTCAAC